ATCCCTGGTACTCAAAAAAAAAAAAAAAAAAAAAGCTGGGCCTGGTGGTGTACACCTGCAATCCCAGCACTCGGGAAGTTGAGGCAGGAGGATCACTGTCAGTTTGAGACCAGCCTGGGCTACACAGTGAGACCCTGTCTCAAACAAAAAACCAAAACAAAAACCAAAACAAAACAAAAAAACAACAAAAAAACTGGCTTCAGAGTGGAGAATGAAGGGCTGTAAAGACTAGTTAGGAGGTGGGTGACTGATGGCAGAAGTGATTAGGAAGAGCTGATATTCATAGCAGTAGGAGTGGTAGCAAGTACAAAATATATGGATTCAATGATACTTAAGGGAGAAGAAAAAAGTGGGAGTGAGGATAATCAAAGATGACTCCTGGGGTTACTTCATGAAAAACTAGGCAGAATGAATGCCATGTAATGAAAAAGACATAATGAAGAGGACTTGGCATGTGAGGATTATTTATGATTGCATTTACTAAGCCAGGTAAGACAGGTTCTGTCCTTGTGGCATTCAAGTTCTAGTAGTGGATGTTTCATTATAGGTATACATATTAAAAAAACTAAAAAGAAAGGCTGGAGTTGTATCTCAGAGGTACAGCACTTGCCTCGCATGTGTGAGGCCCTAAATTTTAATGTAAGCACCACAATAAATATATACACACAGAAAAAGAAAAAAGAAAACACTATGTATGACTTTTAAAATTTCCTTAAAATTATTCCTCAAAAAAGGAAGTTGCTTTATAACTTTTTTGAAATCTGTCAAATTAGAGTACTGGATTTAGTAATTATTCCTGGTAATTATTAATTCACAATCACATGTTTATGTCTCTATAAATGGAAGTAGATCAAGTAACCAGTAGAAAATACACATACAATGGAAACAGGTCTTTGATTAAGGATCCTCAGATAAATCAATGTAAATTATATTATCAAAATTATAATTATATATCTAAGACCAATTTACAAATAACTGTCTATTTGCAGGTGGTATTTTGTTACAGAATTTGTAGTGAGGCATTACAAGGGATTGTCTGAACTTCAGGAAAGCTGATGTACTTTGCAAAAATATTGGGTGACTGATAAACTAAATAACAAAGATATTGATACCAAAACACATGAAAATTTTAAATACCTGTTTCACTACATATGATAGAAAAAGTATTTCTAAATTAATGTTAAGTAGATATTTAACTACCTTATCCATCTAGCAAACAGCTCATTTCTAATTCAGTATCAATTCTCTCCCTTAACAAATCCTGATTTATTTAGGACTGCATTGTGCTCAGCTAAGCCTCCATTTGCTATCCTCCCTCAGATATGGTCACATGCCTAAGTTACCGTCATGAGATGTAAGCCTAAGTGTTGTGCAAGTCTTTAAGAAAGCACTGCAAATTAAGACTTTCTTGTTGTTTATATGGAAAACTCCCTTGATCGTTATCTGGTACCATGGTGAGGATGCTGACACCATGTATTGACCGCAAAGCTTTCTCTTGAGACCAAAAGTTAGACATCATATATGTAGAATACTGCTACTTGGATGCACCTCAGCTGAAAATGTCTAAAACTAAACTTATTTTCCTTGTTCTTCATGTTTTCTATGCATCTAATGGCATCATCAAGAGTCAATCAAGCCATAAATTTAGGATTCATCATAATGGTTGCTCTGTCCTTTACCTTACCTGTACCTTAGTAGTTCTTAAGCCTCTCTCTTAAATGTCTCCCTGGCTGGCTATTCAGGTGTTAGTCTTAACTCAGGACATCACCATATACTGTCTAGATCAGTGATGGTTAACCTTTTAGAGCTTTCAATAACAAAAGGCCCACTGCAGCACACATGCCACAGGTTGCCACTACTGGTCTAGATGATGGTTTCTGATATGGTTTCATGCTTCCACACTGTCTGAACAATCCACCTTCCATACTTTTGCCAAGGTGATCTCAATATTTTACTTATTTTACGATGCCAGGGATCAAACCCTATCTTGTGTATGCTAGGCAAGCACTCCACCACTAAATCACATTTCCATCAAAGTCTTCTATAAAATCTTTCAGTGTTCGTTAGCTAAAGCCCAAAATCGTTTTGTGGCAGAGAAGTTCTTCTAAAACAATATCCCACCTATCTCGCCACCACCAACTTTCTTTTTTTTTTTTTGGTACCAGGGATCGAACTCTGGTCCTTGCACTTGTGAGGCAGGCCACCGAACTGCTGAGCTAAATCCCCAGCCCTCTCTACCACTATCTTTCAATTTTGCCTACCTAACAAACTCCTTATCTGTCACATCCTAGCTCAAGAATCTTGTCTTTTGTCAAATCCTTCTCTGACCACCTTGATCAAAAAGATGTTTTGGTGTTTAAAAATAAGGTGACTACTTAAATGTTTAAAAATTGATCATTTTCTTTTTTGTGTCACGAAAAGTATCTTGTGCCTAGGGTAATGTTGTTTCTCCTTCTGAATATAAATTTTTGTTGTTTTTTTCCTCTTTAACTGTATTCATCTACACGAACTTAGAAAACAAAAGAAATCAGTGCTGTACAAATGTTTCCTTCTTTCCATTTACTCCCTCACAAATAAACCTCTGGAATATGGGTCTTCAGTTAAAACAAAATTCAAAAATCTTAAATTCTGGTTTAAGCAATAGCTTTTGTTTAGTTATGAGTCCATGTAGTAGAAATAGCAGGGAAGGTAGGTATGGTGGCCCATGCCTGTAATCTGGAAGTCTAACGCAAAAGGATTATAAATTCCAGCCTAGCCTTGGCAATTTAGAGACTTAGTGAGGCCATGTCTCAAAATAAAAAAGGGCTGGGGATGTGCTTGGTGTGAAGGTCCTGGGTTCAAACCCTAATACCAGAAAAACAAACAAACAACAACAAAACAAAAACAGCAGGGATTCTGGAGTCAAAATCTTGATGGTGGATATCATGAATGAATTACTTAACTTTTTTGGGTTTCAGTTTTCTAAGAAAACAAGGTTCAAACACTAAGCTTACACCTATTAAATGTTAAGTGCTGTGGCCACTTTGTAGAAAGGTAAAGGAAGGCTGAGGAAGGATAATCATTTTCTAATGTCACATGCTTTTTAAATGCCAGAGGTGGAATTTGAACTCAGACAGCTAATTAGAGACCAAATCAAGGAATTATCCAGATTTTAAAGGGCCTTAGGCTTATTTAGTTTTAACTACTCCAAGAAAACAAAAACATTTTGAAAAATTTCAAAATCATATGACCATGTGAACATAGTACTAGAATCTGTTACAGCTTCTTTCCAAGTGCGGAGGTTGAGTCAATGAGGAGCCCTAAAGATTTATTAACTCTGAGCCAGGGATGATAGTGTACCTGTAGTCCCAGCCACTAACTACAAAGGCTGGAAGCCTTTTTTTGACCTGCCTCAAAAAAGAAAAAAAGAAAAGAAAAATCATCTTCTGGGGCATACTCTTAGACACAATGAATGCTGTATTTCTATCTAAGTAAGTTGCATGAGTAAAAACACTAATTGTCTATTTTTTTGCATTAAAATGTGGGAGTGACACTGTTTCATGCAAATAAAAAAGGTAAACATGAAGTGTTAAAACTGGAAAAGTAGTGGCCGGGCGTGGTGGTGCACGCCTGTAATCCCAGCACTCGGGAGGCTGAGGCAGGAGGATCACTGTGAGTTCAAGACAAGCCTGGGGAACAAAGTGAGTTCCAGGTCAGTCTCAACTATACAGTGAGACCCTGTCTCAAACAAAACAAAACAAACAAAATGGAAAAGTACTGCCTGGAATTGTAGAAATCTGTTGTGCTTTATGGATAACTCCTGGAATCTGTTACAGAATGCTGTATCAACCAACCAAAAACTAAAGCAACCCATTGATACCCTCCTCAGTGAAAATAACCCCAACAACCAAATTCTCTTGGCTGGGTGATTTTTTTCCCCCTGTATATAGGACATCTTCTATATCCCCCATTGTTTTACTGTATTGTAGAGACTTTTTAAAAAAAACATTTCTAGCTCCTAAACTGTACAGCCTTATAAACTGGAATCTGGGACACAATGAATAGTCTAACACTTACTGAATAAATGAATAATCCTGAAAATTTTTATACCTCTCTAAAATTGTGCCTTTTTTTAAAACAAAACTGAGAGCCAGTACTGGTATAAATGAAAATTATAAAAAGCTATATAAAAATCTAACCAAGAGTATTTAAGAAATGTAATTAATAGTAGTATTACATTTAACATTATAAACTACCTCAGAAAGGGATGTAGACATTTAACCACTTTATTTTCTATTATGGGTTAATAGTGTCCTTTCTGAAACTTCAGAAAGTGACCTTAGTTGAAAGCAGGGTCATCACAGAAGTAATTAGTTAAAATAAGGTTACACTGGAGTAGCAAGGCCCTTAATTCCACATGGCTGGTGCTTTCAGAAGAAAAGAGACATAAACACAGAGGCGAGAAGGATGTGTATGACTTAGGCAGAGGTAGATATTAAAAGTAATGCAGCTGTAACTAAAAAATTCCAACGATTACTGGTAACCATCACCAACTAGGAAGAGGCTAAAGTTTTGGAAGGACCAATCAGCCCTTTGATCTTGAATTTCTAGCTTCCAGAACTGTGATACAACCTGACTTAATGTTCTTTCTCTATTCCTTCTTACTGTACTTATCACAATGTGCAGTGATCTGAATTTTTGGTTTATTGACAATCTTGCCAAGGGCCTATAAGATCCTTGAAAGCTGGACTTTTGCTCTGTTCCTCCTCTATCTTCAGCAACTGGGGGGAAATTCATAGGATTTCATAGGCCTTCACTGTTTGAGAATGAGTAAATTGTGCCAAGTACTAAAGAAACTGAAGTCCATGCTTACAGGACATGAATGGCAAAGAATGAAGATAATTCACAAATCCTAAAATTATTTCCAAGTTGACTGAGGAATGAGTGGGGGAGGATTAAAAATAATGATTTTTAAAGTGTACAGAAAACACGTTGGAATTTTAACTCTAGCTAAAGATTTATGTATTCTAACCACTATGCCATTACTTAAAACTTTTTTAGGGAATTCTTTATTCAGAACTCCAGTAGAGAATGAAGCAAAGTTCTCAGGGTGTATTTAATTTTGAGAAATAACCAAAAATAATCTTGTGCTAAGCCTAGAAAAAAGTCAGTGATAAAAGCAGGGTAATAATATTAAAAATGGCGTCTATTAAAAAAAAATTGACCAGGATTGGAAAATTCTCATATAAGGTAGGACACTAAAAGTAGGAAAAAAATAAGTTAAATGAAATATAAATTTATGGCCAGGTGTAGTGGTTGGCACACCCAGCACTGAAAAGACTGAGGTAGGAGGATCTCTGTGAGTTTGAGACCAGCCTGGGCTCCTTAATGAATTGAGGGCTTGTTTGAACTACATCGCAAGACTAGGTTTCAAAAAACAAAACGAACAGAAAAACCCCAAACAGAACAAAACAGATTTAAGGTCAGAGCAAATGTAAAAGTTTCTTTTAAAATACACTATTTGCATCTTTTATTACTCCCAAACTCCAAGAAAATGACATGACTAAGGAATGGCTTGTTCCTAAGAATATATGATGATATGAGGAAAAGTTAAAAATCACCAGATGTGGGAACCTTCCAGCCCCCCCATACCAACCATAACGAAATCATCCTTCCGATAGGCCCGAAAGGTCTGGTCAAACCCAAACGCCTGCGCCTTGATTCTGCCCAGCATGGACCTGGGGCAGAGAAGGAAAAAGGGTGAGCTTGGGTTTGGCGCCCACTCGAGTACAAAACCCGCGAGGGCCACCCGGACCCATCCAGCGCGCGTGGCGCTGCCGCTTCGGGGCTTTACACAGGTTGGGCCGCCCAGGCTCGCGCGCCTTCGACGCCTGCCTCGCGCTTCTCAGCCGCGAAGGCCGAGGGGGCTCTTCTCCCACTGCCCCTCTCTGACCCTCACCACTGGCGGAGCCGGCTGGTGGTCTCCGGGCCGCTTAGAGATGGGAAGGTTTTCTGAGGCAGGAACCTGAAGTAGTAACCGCCTAAAACACCCGGCTCCCCAGCAGCCATCCTGCCCTTAGTCGCTCGCTAGGAGGCGGGTCGTTTCCATAGAGACGCGGCTGCTCTCAGGTGGAGGACGCGCTTCCGGGGCGGGACTACGCCTTGGGGCGGGGCTAGCGTCAAACCAGACCCGGGTCCGATTTCTCCACAGGGCGGGGCTGGGGTTGAGGGTCCGCTTGGCTTCCCGGGAGCTGGCGGTGCGGCTCTGTCCCCAGTCAGACGCGCCACCCAGCGAACCCCGATTGTTCAGTGCCTGTGGAAGATGGAGTTGAGGTTGGAGAAAATTGCCAGATACTTGTCACTACCTCTTAATATTAATTATTCAATATGGGTGAGGGACTTGTCTCAAACGCTACAATCTCAGATTTACTATTACCTAAGTTTGATGACTCAAACGTTTTTGAATAAAGATTATTTTGAATTAATTAGATTTATACAGTTTGGAAGACGAATGCCTGCCTATGCCACTACTTGGAAAATATTGTTTTACTATCTGACTTTTCTTTCTTCTTTAAAAGTAACATCTGAAGACTTAAAAATTTTTCCATGCATACTACATGACAACATGCTGTTTACTATGAAATATTTATTTCCTATAGAAAATTGTCTTTTCTGTCTATAGTTCTGTTGTTTTTTGTTTAATGCTAGCATATCAGGGCTTCAGAATAGGAGGATAACCTATTTCTTCTTCTTTCCTTTCTCCCTAGTCCTTAAGAACAAATCTTGGTTATTTCTCACCAGAGCAGCAGGTCAGAGGGAGGGAGAGAAAAGAACCACATGCACACAAAATATCATTGTTTTCATTGTTTAATGTTTCACTACATTAGTGTACCTCAGCTCAATCTTTTGGGTTATTTCTAATGTGAGGCTATGAACATTTCTGGATTTTTTTTTGTTTTTTTTTAAGGACCTTCCCTCATTCCTAAGCATATCTTTTGATGGAGTTAGGGTCTCATTCCTGATGCAAATACACTCAGGACTGGAATTCCTCAGTTACACAATATAAACATACCTAGTTTTACTACATGATGCCAAAATTTTTTCCTTACAACTCAACCAGCAATGTGTAAGATTTGTAGTTGTTCGAAATTCTTGTCAACACATAGTATTGCCAGTCTTAAAATTGTAGCTATCCTGGCCAGGTATGGTGACATATCCCTGTAATCTCAGCGTTGTGGGAGGTCGAGAGAGGAGGATTCTGAGTTGGAGGCCAGGCTGGGCAATTTAGCAATTTAGCAATATTCTGTCTCAAAATTTATTCATTTATTATTTTCAATTTTTATTAGTACATGTTTGCAGTACATAATGATTACATTACTCGTGGGGAGTTGGTACATGTATATAACACATCTTAATTTTCCATTTCCCTCCCCCTTCCCTCCCTCCTCCCTTTGTTTCTTGGTTCTCTTCCCTTACGCAAAAAAATCTATCTCCCTATTTTTTATTATCTTTTATTTTGCTCTTTATATTTGGGGTTTCTTTTACAAAAGAAACCATGCTGTATTTAAATATAATTTTATGGGAGGGTGCTGGAAAATCAAACTCAGGGACAATTTACCACTAAGGTACAATCATCCTTTTTAATTTTTAGGGTATGTGCTGTCCAAGTGAGCACCCTTTTTTATTTTGAGACTGGGTCTTGCTAAATTGCTCAGCCAGGACTCAAATTTTGGATCCTATTGCCTCAGCCTCCATCAGTACTAGGATTAGAGGTGTCACAGAGCCTAGCTATATTTTCTTTTTAATAAGGCGAAGTAGTAAACCTGATAATATCAAATTTAAGGTATTCGAGTCTGTGTTTGTGAGTGTCTTGTAATTTTCCTTACCTAATACTATGGTTTGGATAAAAAATGTCTCCTAAAAGATTCATTTTAGAGGTGAGGCTTTTGAAAGTGATTGGATCATGAACACTAACTTTACCAGTGAATTAATCCATTGATGAGATCACATTTTCATGGCATTATGTGATGGAAACAGGAGGTGAGGCCTAATTGAAGGGAATGAATCCTGGGATTGTGATCTTGGGAATTATGTATGGTACCAAATAGCTTCCCCTCTGGCTTTTTAATCTCTTCTCTGCTTCCTGGCTGCAGTAAAGTAAACAACTTTCATTTTGCCAGAGTGTTTCTGCCTCACCTCAGGCACATGACAATGGTATAAGCCTACCCTGTACTGAAATCTCTGAAGCCTGTAAGCCACGATAAACCTTTTCTCCTTGAAGTTATTTTTCTCAAGTATTTGGTCACAGCAACAAAAAGCTGTGATCTTGTTAGGTTTTGATAGTAATGTTTTGCTGGTCTTCTAAAATGAGTTGAAAAGTTTTATTTTTTTATTGCTAGATTTTTGTATAATATCAATGATATGTATTTCTGAAATGTTTGAAGGAGGTATTTTGGGGAGACAGTTTTAAATAGACTCTCAGTTTCTCTTTATAGTTATAGGAATACTATAGTTTGAATCTTGAATGTCTCCCAGAGGTCCATGTGTTTAGGGCTTGGTGCTGTTAGGAGGTGGCAGCCTCGTGGGAGAATCTTAGGTCACTGGGATTGTGCCCTTGCTGGGGAGAATGAGACCCTAGTTCCTTCTTTTTCCTCTCTTTTGCTTCCTGGTCATGAGGAGAGTGGTTTTGGTCCCTCATGCATTCCTGCCGTAATGTGCTGCCTTTCCATGAACCCAAAACAATGGGCCCAACCAAATATGGATGGGAACTTCCAAAACAAGGCATACCTCTCTCTCCCTGTTATTATGTAAGGTGTGGAATTTGGATTCAGCTAATTCTGTTTCCTCTCTCTCTTTAACTACCTTTTTTATTTTGAGACAGCCTCACTAAGTTGCCCAATCTGATCTAGAACTTGCTATTCTCCTGCTTCAGTTTCCTGAGTAGTTGCGATTATAGGCATTTCACCACTCCTAGTCACCTCTTTTTCTTTATGAATTAATTAGCTCAAGTATTTCAGTATAGTAATGGAAATATGACTAATACAAGGAGTTTTCAGATTTGCTATTTTTTTCTTGAATCATATTTGATAAGATATATATTTTTAAAAAATGTAGGCAACTCTTCTAGTTTTTCAATTTCATTAGCATAAAATTATTCCCAATCATTTTTTACTATCTTTTTAATGTTTGTGGGATTTAAAAGTCTTTAATACACACATATATATGTGTATATATTTTTATATACAGAGAGGCAGTCAGACAGAGACAGAGCAACCAAGAGAATATGGACTATGCTGGGGATTGAACCCAGAGCCTTACACATGATAGGTAAGTGCTCTGTCACTGAGCTATACCCCTGGACCTGTCTATATTTTTTGTAATTAAAGTATAATTTATCTTATTAAATAATTAAATTAAAATTATTCTTTTTTGGCCAAAAGTTTGCCACTCTATGTATAGAGAGTTCCTGTGGTAGAACCTTGCTACTAAAAGTGTGGTCTATGATTCAGCAATATTAACATCATTTGGGAGCTTTTAAAAATGTAGAACCTTTAGCCTCTCCCAGACTTTATGATCAGTTTTTCTGTTTTCCTTGCTCCCCTCTTTTTTTGTAGTTGAGACTGGTTCTTGCTCTGTTAACCAGAAGTTCTTGAATTCTTGGACTCAAATGATCCTCCAACCTCAGAAGTAGTTGGAACTTCAGGCATGTGCCATGGCCCCCCGGTCCTCATGAATCAGAATCTATAGTTGAAGACTTTCAGGTTGGTCACATTTATTTTAAATGAGAAGCACTGGTTTATATGTACATATCAGTCCCTTTACTTTTATTTCAAGCTATTTTTATCCCTCTACCTATTCAATTGTTCAATTCAGAAACCTAGGACTTTTCTTTGTTCCTACATGTCTCACCTTCCCCTATTCTTCTCCATATCGGATTACTATTAGTCAGCTTTTCATCACTATAACAACACACTGAATGCAGGCTACTTAGGAAGAAAAAGCAGTTTATTTAGTTCACATTAAAAAAATTATTTTCCAGTATTGAGGATTGAACACATAGCCTTTGGACTGAGCTAACTCCCCCGCTTAAGACAGGTTCTTTACAAATTGCGAAGTAGGCTGGGCTTGGACTTGCCTTAATCTCCTAGCTAAGGATTACAAGTGCTGGGATTATAAGTGTGCACCACTGTATCCAGTTTAGCTCACAGTTTTGGAGACTGAAAGTCCAAAAAGCATGGCACAGACTATGCTGGGGGTCCCAAAAGAGATGGATGAGTGCACATAAAGAGGAAAGATTACATTTTAAATAGAAAGCTGGAGATCAGTTCAGGTGTCAGGCCCAGACTTTTACAAAAACCAGCTTTCCCTTTGGAAGCATTCCTTTCCCACTCTATGATTCAAGGGAATCCCACGGAGACCAACCTTTCAAAGATTTCACACTATCTTCCACCACTGCACTGGAGACAAAACTTCTAATGCATAAGCCTTTGGGAGACACCCAAACTGTATCCAAGCCATGGCAATCACTAAATATCATAATCTATTCACTTCTTTCAAGGTTATGTGGTTGCCATGTTAGTCTAAACAACAACCATCCTTTCACTTGGATGTCTTTAAGTAAAACTTCTTAACTGATCTCCCCGTCCATCTTTGTTCTCCTGGCATCTCTTAGAAAACAGCAGCCAGACTGAATTTTGATAATTGATAAATTTGGTTATAACATTACACTATTTCAATTTCTACAGTTGCTTTGTGTGACGTATAAGGTAAAATACAAAATCCTTATGGCTATCATTGTTTTCCCTCCCAACCGCATTTTTTGTCTCTTTCCCTTGCTGCCTTCTCAAGAATCACTAGCCCAGAAACAGCAATGCTCCTTTCTTGCTCAGGGCCTTGGCAGAAGATATTTTATCTGCCTGGAATACCTCTTTTCCCCTCATTATTAGCCTAACTACTTGTGCATCCTTTACATTTCAGGTTACAACTCACTTCTCTGGAGACCTCATCTCACCACCAGTGAATATTAGTTTATTTGGTTGTTCTTTCATAACAAGGTATTTTTTTCTCACAGTGCTTTTAGCCATTTGCAATTATTTAAATATTTGTGTTTCTACATTTAATCTTTGTCTCTCTGACTAGCCAGTAA